GCCTCGGATGCCGCCGCTGGAAGCGTGTGGCCGAAGGCAACACTGGCTGGACATCGATCCCAGAGCTATGCGTAGCTGGGCCATGACTCCACTGGCCATCACACTCGGTTTGCCACCACTGCATCCCGAGGAGCGGGCACGGCTGCCCACGGTGGTACGAGTGGCGGACGTGCTTGCAGATGGTAAGCTGCCCCCGGACGTGGTTTACGTGGGTCAGGGCCACCACTCCCACCGGGTCCCACGGTCTCAGTGGGCATCACCGTTCGTGCAGGGGCACACCTGTACGACGGACGACTGGCTGCCGCTCTACGTGGACTTCGTCCTCGCCAATTTGCAGGCGGAGCTGCCTGCGCTGCAAGGCAAACGGCTGGCATGCGATTGCGGCCCGGACGGTGTCTGCGAGGCAGATGCGCTGGCTGGGATGGTCTTTGATGCGACCCATCCGGATGCCGAGGCCAGCCTGCCCAGAGTCACTGGGCGGCGGCACAGGCAGGCCAGGGGCTCTGTGGTCAGGGCGGCGACCATCATGGGCTCGCTCCGAGGCAGTGACGCCCTGCAGTCGATGAACCCTTTACATGCTACCTAGACTGGCGCCAGAGTCGTGGGATGGAGTGGGACGGACCCCTGGGCCGCCCTCTTCGTCCAACGCTAGTCGGAGGCGGCAGCGGTTGGCAGAGGGGAAGCAGCATGGAGCCTACAACCACAAGGCCTCCATTCCACCTCTGGTCGGGTATGGGCTGGAGCCGGACGCCCATTTCGCCGCATCCCTGCAGTGGACCAACACGGCAACCCCGTTGGAAGTCCTTCCTACGTTGGACGACGACCTGTGGTACGCGGCCAGCATGGTGATGGAGAATCACGACCTAAAGAGACGCCGCCAGGCGTCCATCGGGGCCATCAAGGAACTGAAGCGCAGGTGGGCGCCGGTGTCCAAGCACCTCGTGGCCTTCCAGTCCGAAGCCATCCGAGGAGTTACCTCGAAACGCGATCTGGGTTTGCTGGGGCTCTTCGTCGTCCTCATGCAGTGGGGCGACTTCGCCCTCCCTCACGGCTTCATCAAAGGCCTTCCAGCAGTGGGCTATGCCCCTCATTACGGAGTCTTCCCCCACCAGCCCGTCGAGGCGATCGCCCACTCGGAGGTACTGGCTGGTTGGGAGGAGCACAACGCCGCCACCATCGCAGGAGTGCGGCCGGGTTCCACGGACTCCTTCGTTCTTGAGCAGTCCACAAAGGACCACAAGGAGGGGTTTTGCACCCCCCCCATGAACCTGAGCCAGCTCAAGCGGTACGCCAAAGGAGATCCATACCGGCTCATACCTCGCTGTGTCATAACACAGGCGTCTGGCAAGCAGCGTCTGATAGACGACGCAGCACGGGGCGGGCAGTCTGCATCGTCCAGAGATGCCAACAAACTTGTTTTGTGTACGCCGCTCCGCCCAGCGCTCCACGTCCAAGCTGCGGCAGCCTGCCTTCAGGAGTGCACCTGGGAGCGGTTCGCGCAGCAGGGGCAGTGGACGGGAGCTGGAGATGATTGGCCGAATGCCTACCGCCACTGTCCCATGTCACGACAGGAGGCCCTGGCCTGCGTAGTAGTTTGGTACCACCAAGAATGGCAGGAGCCGGCCTTCCAGGTGTACCACGCCCTCTTGTTCGGCCTTCCGTTAGCGGTCACCTCCTTCAACCGCTACTCCCGGATGGCGGAAGCCATGGGCAGGCGCTTTCTGGCAATTATGGTGTCCATGTATTTCGACGACAGTCACATTACAGACCGCGCAGTACACGGCCCATCAGCCCAGTGGAGTTTCGGCGCCCTCAACGACCTGCTGGGCACCCCGTTCGCTGAGGAGAAGCGCCAGGGAGCTGCGGATGTCGGTACCTTCTTGGGGCTTGATTTCGATCTCTCGGAGGTCCACACACATGGGCGCGCGCGGTTTTGGGTTCGAGAGCGACTCGAACAGAAGGTGCTCACCTTCATGCGTGAAGCCAGGAAGAGCGGGAAGTTCACCCCGGGTCAAGCTGCGAAACTCTACGGCATGGTCAACTTCCTGGAGCATGGCCTCTTCGGGCGCATTGGCTTGGGCGAAATCCAGGCGTTGAAGGAGCACCAGTACGGGGGCTCCAGCAAAGCCAACGCCAGCCTCTTGGCGGCTTTTGACGTGTTGGAGGCTATCATCAGTATGCGCCCCAGGAGAGAGCTGATGGTCCTCCCCATGGATGTGCCGAGGGTGGTGGCTGCCTCGGACGCGGCTTTGGAGGCACCTCGTCAAGGATCCGGCGGATACCACTTGGTCTTCCAGGACGGTGGCGTGCAGATTCGGGAGGCCTTTGTAGCCATCATCCCCGCGCAGACCTATGACATGTGGGGACCAGGAGACCATAAAATAGCCCAGTTGGAGCTGTTCATGGTGGTGCACGCCCTTACGGCGAGACCCGACCAATTCCGCGGGAGACGCGGAGTGTGGTTCATCGATAACATCGCCAGTCTTATGTGTTTGATCAGGGGCAGGAGTGACAACCCCGACTTGGCCAAGATGGCGACGTATATTCAGTGTTTGCTCTTTGCGTTGCGAGCCTCACTCTACTGGGAATACATTCCATCCAAATCCAATTGGGCCGACGCGATCAGCCGATTAGGACCCAGTGACCCATGGTACAGGGCCAACCACTTCAAGTTGAATTTCAGTCTTTTCCCTCCAGCTCTACTGAGGCTTCCGTACCGAGCAGTGATTACCTTTGCTGAGTTCCTGTGAGTGCATTGGGAGAGTTTGTGAAAGAAGTTGTGAAAGTAAGTGCGTTGGGAGATGTATCCTGCTTGATGCAGGGCATCCAGAGCTTATCGGGGGTAAACCCGATGTGCCGAGGAAATCGGCGAATTGGCTGGGCCACAGCATGAGGAAATTCATGCTGTGGATACCAATGCAAATCCCACAGGAAAAGGTGGGTTGTCAGTCTATCAGACTCGTGTCGCATCGCTGGAGTGAAAATGCTGCGGTGCTGTTTATGTCAAACCTCCTTGGGAATGTAATCCTGTATCAGGTTGGAAGGCTTGGGTTTTCAGGCTTCATTCTGCAAGGAGTGTATTGGATCATGCGGGGCCTTTTGGCTCAAGCATGATCCAAACTGGCTAAATTTTAACCCCACCCTATCCCGCCCTAGATCACCGGCCCCCCTAGTTGGGACGTCCGTGATCTTTGAAGAGCGCGCCGCGCTTGGGGAATGCCTGGGGGACCAGGCCCCCAGTCAGTCAGTTAGCTCTGTGGTGGGAGATGTATCCTGCTTGATGCAGGGCATCCAGAGCTTATCGGGGGTAAACCCGATGTGCCGAGGAAATCGGCGAATTGGCTGGGCCACAGCATGAGGAAATTCATGCTGTGGATACCAATGCAAATCCCACAGGAAAAGGTGGGTTGTCAGTCTATCAGACTCGTGTCGCATCGCTGGAGTGAAAATGCTGCGGTGCTGTTTATGTCAAACCTCCTTGGGAATGTGATGATGATGATGATGATAATGATGATGAACATGATGCTGAAAATGACAGATGGACATGATGATGAACATGATGATGGACATGAGGTGAACATGATGATTGAAATGATGATGGACATGATGATGAAAAGACGAAAAGATGGACATGAAGAGGAGAATGATAACGGAGCATGATGATGACAAAGACAATGATGAACATCATGATGGACATGATGCTGAACATGATGATTGAATGACGATGTTGAAAATGATGATGATGAACATGATGATGACATGATGATGCAGATGATGACGGACATTTGCTGGACATGTGACAGTGATGATGATGATGATGATGATGATGAACAGTGAAAATGATGATGAACATGATGATGAACATGATGATGAAAACAATGATGTACATGATGGTGGACATGATGATGAAAACAATGATGTACATGATGGTGGACATGATGATGATGGAAATGATGATGATGAGAATGATGATGGGAATGATGATGTACATGATGATGAATGATGAAGAACATCATGATGAACGTGATGCTGAACACATTTTTATCATTATTATTTTATTATCACTCCCATGATCATCTGAATCATCATGTCCACCACCATTTTCCTGATCATCTTCATCATCACGTTCATCATCACATCATCATCATCATCATTTTCATCATGTTCACTGTTCATCATCATCATCATCATTTTCATGATCAGTTTCAACATCATTTTCATCATCCTCATCACCAGCATGCTGTTTCGGCATCATCATCAGTTTCCCTTTGCTGTTCCCTCATTATTTTCATTTTCTTCATCATGTTCATCATCATCATCATTATCATCATTATCATCCTCATCATCCTCATCATCCTCATCATCCTCATCATCCTCATCATCCTTTTTCATCCTCATTTCCCCTTTTCTGGTTCATCATTTCCATCATCATTTTCATCATCTTGTCCCATAATCATGTTCATCATCATTCTCATCATTCTCATCATTATCATCATCATGTTCAGCATCTTCACCATCATTCTCATCCAATTAACATTCATTGCATATAATACATACCTTTTTCTTTTCTTGCGGGGGAGGGAGGGAGTGGGGGGGGAAGGGGGACGGAGGGAGGGAGGGAGGGAGGGAGGGAGGGAGGGAGGGAGGGAGGCAGGCAGGCAGGCAGGCAGGCAGGCAGGCAGGCAGGCAGGGAGGCAGGGAGGCAGGGAGGCAGGGAGGCAGGGAGGCAGGGAGGCAGGGAGGCAGGGAGGCAGGGAGGGAGGGAGGGAGGGAGGGAGGGGGGGGGGGGAAACAACAAAAACGAAAAAGCAACCAAAATACATCCGCACCAAACAGGGCGCCTGATCTTATCTTAGACCGCCAGTGTGCGTAGCGGTGCCTTCTTTCTTTTCTTTTCCAATGGGGTTCCCCTTTAGACCCAACCGCCAGCGCAGAGTTTGGCCTTTTTCCCTCTCATGGCAATCCATTTGGTCAGCCGGGTTTTCAAGGCCCCCTTCCAGGCCTTTGGCGCTTGGGCGCTGAGCACTGGGAGGACAAGGCCTGAGAGATCGGATCGACCTTTCGCCTTGCTTGAAAGCACGCAAAGCTTGCTGGGCTGACTGCCATCAACAGCTTAGGGTCCAGGTTCAAGTCATTCAACTTTGAACAATGTGGGTGTCTCTACCAAAGACCAAAGGGTTTAGGTTTTTGGCGGGGTCACAAGTAACTCCGGTACATGGCCGCAGATGGAAACCCGAAGCTGTTCCGTCTTGGTTACTCCAAAGTCAATCAATGCGCAGCCCCAAGTTTGAAAGAGGTGACAAAATCGCGAGTGCTTGGTTTACGCTTGCTTCCTGTTGAGAAAAGTACATCCAAACAGGCCGTTACAAAGGATTGCCACCTTGCCTCGTGCAGATAAACCATGACGTGTAGTAGATGCTCGAGTGAACCGGCGGCAATGTCAGGAGGGTTACATCCACATCAGCCCATGGCTCTGAGCATTGAAAGTGTCAGCACTTGGATCAGGAGGTGAAAGACTGTGGCAAGGTGTGCTTCACAAACATCCGCCCTGAGGACCCAACGTTGCTTTGGTTCTAGCATGTGGGAGTTTAGCTGTTCTCCACGTGTAGGATGCAGTTCTAGGCTTGTCCGCGCTCCAAGCATCCAATTCTATGTGGTCGACCAGAAGAAAAACAAGTCGTTCAGATACTGCGCAGACCTGTTGGAGTGAAAGGCTTAGCCACTGCACGGGCATCAAACCCTGTGAGTCGCACGACCACTTTGTGGTTCACTTCAGCTTGTGAGTGGGATGACAGGTTTTTACTCGTTCGAAGGCACAATTGCCTTGGTTGGACTTCGATTTCCAGGCGCTTGTGGCCTCGGTCGCTTGAGGCCTGAGTGCTCCCGTAGCCTAACAAGAGCCCTGCAGGTTTTTCGACACCGTACCAGAAAGGAAGCTTTGCTTTTTGTTCAAGGTCATTCTGTTCCCCTGTTGCACCAAGGTCCTCCCCCCCAACCTCCCCACCTCCACCCCCACCGACCCACCGACCCACCGCAGTCGGCCTCCGGAGAGTTCCCGGAGCTGCACTGGGCCTCCCGGGGCCGGGGCCACCTCTTCCTGCAGGCGGTGCAGGCGGGACCCGGACTCGTCGGGGCCGAGCCGTCGGGAGCCGTCCGCGGGTTGGGGGACGCGCTTGTCGCTTGGAGAGTCGTTCGGCCCTTTGACTGCGGAGACGTGGAGTGGCAGCTCAGGTTGAGTGAGTGGTTGGAAAGCGGAGAAGTGGAGTATGCGAAGTCAGTTGGGTGAAGAAATTGCTGGGTGGTGGAGAAACGAGGGGAGGGGGGGGGGGCGGCGGCTAAAAATGCATAGGTCTTGGGTCAGAAGAAGAGCAGATTCCCAACCAGAAATGGAAACCAACATGTGCCTTTGTGTAGTTTTGGTGCGTTCTTACGGATTGAACGCTGAACGCTTGTCACTCAAGGGAGTGGGGAGTGGATTTGTCCCAACACGGGCAATTGGGTGATTGGGGGACTTGCGTCCAAAAGCAGCAACGGGGGTGGCTGCAACACTGTCAACCGCCATGCCTTTAGGTTTCCCTGGCGCCAGTTGCCGGCAACGGCGTCCCTTCCGCCTATCCTTTTCTTGCTGGTTCCCAGCTGTTCGGTTCCTTGGGTTTTTACTTGTTTTTCAGGGGGTTTAGTGGTTGGGTTTCCATGTGGCCATGGGTCAAAACCTCGCAGTGGTGCACCTATCGCCAAATGGTACCATTGGCTTTGATCCATACCTATTTGACCCACTGAAAGTTGAACTTTCCGGGGATCCGAGCCGTTTTGTCACGGCACAGGTCACCTTGCCACCGCCAGAGGAGAGGGGTCCTCGGGTCCTCTTTAGGCAAGCCTCTTTGGGTGAGTGTGGTTGCCTTTGCCATCTGGCTGTGGGTCAAAACCAATGGCACCATTTTAGGGTAGTGCACCACCCTTTTTTAGTTTATTTTAATGGAGATTGGGATGTTCACTAGGGTACGGGATTTTGACCCATGGCCATCTATTGTTTCCGGAAGGGACAGCATGCTCACAATTCCCTCCAAAACGGATGACTAGAGATGTTTTTGCTGGTAAGGCATGCTGTGTCATCCTGGATATAGGACACAGAATAGCTCCCAGCAACACTGCTGCAACTAGTGCGGCATATCCATGATACATATGCGGAGGCAACAAAAAACCAGGATATCCACGGCAGCAAACACCATGGCAACACCAAGACGTAGCAACACGAGCAAGCACCCACACACACACACATACACATATTTACATGCATTGCACACATCAAACAATATCAAGCATGTATTTGCGCATGTTTAGTTTAGGGACCTTCTTCTTTCCTTCTTCTTTCCTCTCTTTAGTATTTGGTGGGAGCTATCATGACCTGAGATGTTTCTGTTTGTTTCTACACCTTCAGGACACAACCCTTGATGGCCCTCAATGTGGATTTCCCTGCAAGCGCCGCCCGCAAAAAAAGGTACAGCCCAGAAGCAGTTATAATGGGTAAAGTTTGAAAACGCACCCTATAACAAGTCAGCATGAGTACATGAAGGGTTTGCAACTATACTTAGGGGGATACCAGAGGCACGTGATTGCAGGGTTGGATCAAATGTGTCCAGACAGCCACAGCCTGGTCCGTTTTTGCAGGGCTGATTTGAGTCAACTAGCCACGTTTCACCAAGGCTTCGGAACAACTCTGGTGTCCCCCTGATACCACGCGCACATGGTGGAAGTGGATGGACGGGTTCTGGAATACCACCATGAAAAGGCTCCTCGTCCTTTTTCTTCTCCAACAAATTGTTGGCACGAGAAGCAGAAAGTGGAGGTTGAACCTTGTCCGATTATGCATTTCCACACTTCCATTGTCGGGAAAGGGGTAACCCTGGATGTTCCCTGTTCACCCTTGTGGTACAAAAGGGTGTAACCCCCTGTTTTCCCTGTTTCACCAAGGACAAAAGGGTAAACCTGGAGGTTACCCTCCCGCAGACTAACATGGACGCCCGTTTGAATTACTTTGGTTCCATTTATTGAGGCCTTCTGGGAGCTTCCGGCTGCTCGTCTGGAGTGTAACCACGGTAGTCTTCCAAAGGGGTGCCCCCTGTTTTCCCATTTCAAACGAAGGACAAAGTGGCACCAAGGGAATCCCTAGAGGTTACTTTTTGTTTTCCCAAACCAGGAACAAAAAGGGTCACCCTGGAGGTTTGTTTTCCCTGTCTCACGGGCAAAAAGGGCAAACATCTGGAGGTTCAACCTGGTTTCCCGGTTTGTTTCACGCACCCCTCAAGCTTCCACCTGGTGTTTTTGTTTTTTTTTCCCCGTTGGTTTCACCTTTTGGGTGGGGCGGTCCGCAGCTCTTTGCCCCCCAGGAGCCCTCCAGCTCCACGCGGGTGGCGGCGCACCTGGCGGCCTCGGGGCGCTTCGAGGAGCTGCTGCGGCAGTCGGCGGAGGCGGCGGCGCGGGGCTGGGGCCCGGAACGGAACTGCAGGTGACGAGGCGGGGAGCGTTCGGGGGCTGGGGGGCTGGGGGTGGGGGCTGGGGGGCTGGGGGTGGGGCTGGGGGGTGGGGGTGGGGTGGGGGCTGGAGTGGGGGGGGGGGTTGGCCCAGTTTGGGGGTTGGGGGTAGATGGGCTTTAGGTTGGCCTGTGCTGTTTTGGTATGGGCGCCTTTGTATGAAGCAGATTTGAGTGGTCACTTGATCCCGATTTGAATTTTTCTGTCTCCAAATATCCCCACCTAATGGACTGGATTCCTGTAGGCATCTCCCTTCCATGGGAGTTGCTGGAAAATCTGCGGCAAAATGTCCGAGGACGGGCTTGAGGGTGTCCAGGTCTGCTCGGAAGCCAAACTGCAAGAGCATAGCTAGGCAGGTGACACATGCAATTGAAAAACCATCGCGAAGCACAACATCAATGAAGAAAACTCTGACATCTCCAATCCCCTCGACCATATACACAGCAACCAGTACCCATACACCAAATGGTTGAGTGCCTCGTTTGTCCAGTTATCTGCATGGTTCCCCCGACCCAAGCGGCATGTGAGACTAATCTTCCAACAGCATCCTCATTGATGTCCAAGAGCAGCTGAGATTGGTAGCCTGTTGAGGTGGCTGTCAAGAGGTTGGATGCGGCGTTCCTTTTGACTGAGTTGATCAGATAGTCAGCAGTTGGATTCTTGCTTCCTGGAAGGTGCGCTGTGTCTTCCAAGTTGGTGTCTAGAACATAATTGACTGAAACCATCCTTTATCGGTGACTCTTTTTGGCAGGGGGATGCTGTGGTCTTCTGGTTTCTTTCAAGATGCTTTTGTGTTTGTGTTCACGTCGGCAGATGTAGCAATCGTTCGACTCGTGCTGATTGGCCAGTTTTCCGCAAATGCCACGCAAATTGAGCTTTGTTTATCAACTGCTTGCGCCAGAGAATGTCTGAGAGGTGCGATTTTGAGTGTTCCCCAGGGTTGTGCCAAATGAGCTGCAACAATCACCTCATGGTGGCCTGAAAAGGGCACCCAAGAAGCCCCCTTGAAAAGGAAACCAGGAGGTTGTTGAAGCAATCTCGGTTTTAAGAGAAGGTTCAAGGTTGTTGAAAGGTGGGTTGTCCCAATGTTCAATCGTTTTAAAGGCGGTTGTTAAACTAGGTTCCCTAGTAGTGGCCTTCTCCCCTTTTTTGGTTGGGAGGGTCCCCCTACTAAAATAGACGAAACATCGGGCACCCTTATTCTAAGCTCTCTACTGGAGTGGTTGGCCCAACTCTCATGTTCCCCCAAGGCCTCTTGCATCTCGCCGAGAGCGCCGACGCGGCCTGCGCCAAGCTTCTGCCTTCGAGATGGCTCCGCCTTTGAGATCCGAGAGTGACTCCAGAGACCGAGACCGACAAGGGAAACTACAAGCTGCTTCCGCGGTAGTAGGTATCCAGGTATTGTCCTCCAGGTTTCGCATGAGGGTTCCCCCTGGTCTACTACAGAGACTCAGTGGCAACTGGAGCAGAGTAGCCCCAGCTGCTCCAGCCGGGACAAGGTGCTCAGACAGCGGGCTGAGGTCGAAAAGAAGCCGCGGCCTGCTGGTTTCGTGGCAAGAACCTTCGGCCCATACTCCCATACCCTTTGTGGTTTCAAAGTCAGCCGCTCGCCAGGAATTGTCTCCCCCAAACAAAAAAAGTGTTCCCACTGGTTGAAGCTGGAGGGATCCAACGCGAAAGTATTTCAGACTTTTGAGCCCCTCGTCCACTTCCATACGCTTCCCTTGTCTCCGTTTCGGACTTGAGCGAGTCACCTTTTTTTTCGCGCTTGGACCAGTTTGGTCAAGAGTTTGGTAACTTTTTCTCAGGCCATCTGGCTGTGGGCCAAAACCAAAGGTACCATTTTGAGATAGGTGCACCACAAAGTTTAGAACCTATTTTGGTGGGGATTGAGATGTTCACCACCCATCTTAGTCTATTTTAGTGGGGCTTGAGATGTTCACGGGGGGTACGATTTGGGTTTTGACCCATGGCCATCTCAAGAGGTGAGTTGTTGGACAGCACCTGGAGGTGCAGCGCCTGATGAAGGAGGACCCTCAGCGGCTGCAGCGAGTGGCTGGGAACCAGGACCGCGGTTCCGCGTTCCGCGGGTGCCCGCGGGAATTCAATTCCAAAGTGACTTCATGGGTATCATGGGTATGATGGGTATGGGTATGATGGGTGGCCATTGAGGAAAGTCAAAAAGTATCATAAGGTGTTGTTTTTTGCCTTTTTAGTTTGAGGTTACAGTGGCTTTCAAGGAGTACCAACGCCAACCCATGTGGGTTGGAGTTCTTTTTGAGACCCTTTTCCTTCACAATAGACCTTCAGGATTCCAGGTTAGTCAGGGATTCAAACCATCCACAGACCATTTGGGCGTTTCGCTTTGAGGGAACCTCCAAAGGGTGAGATCGATCCCCTAGGAGCTTTCCCGGCAAAGCACAGACAGGTGGGTTTGTCTTTTTTGAGGCTACCCTTTTTCCGGTTGGTTTAGAATGGAAACCCTTTCCGGCAAATCACGCAATTTGTGGTGTCCGAATCCTTGAAGACACCGCCACGAGCTTTGCGATTGTTTTGGCAGGAAGCTAAAAGGAAGCCAGCAAGGAGCCCTCAGGAAAGAAGCGGCGCCGTGTTGGGCCGCCACGTTTTGGGCCGCGCACGCAGCCAGGATCTGGAGAAGTGTGCGGAGAGCCCGCTGCTCACTGGGCGGGTAGTGGCGGCTCTGGCGGCGGAGGAACTTTTGGGGGGTGGGGGGGGTTGAGGGGTTGAGGGGTTTGGGAAGGGTTGGGTATGGAGGTTTGGGGGGGGGGGGGTGTAGGGGGTTGAAGGGTTTTTGGGAGGTAATGGGGTAAACCGAAGAACCACAATTTTAGGGGTCTAACACCGAGTTTGGTTCACATTGGTGTTGTTTGGAAGGGAAGTTTCAAGGGCAACCAATCATTTCAAGGGGCCTCTCCATTCTCTGTGCCGGAAGCTTCTTGGGAGCTGTGCCAATGCAAGCGAGATGTGGCCTTCGCCGCTGTCCCGAGGAGCAGTATCGGAAGCCTCCCTACGTCACGGCGCCAGGCGAGGTTGAACAATCATGAGGGGCCTCTTTTGACGGACCAGAAAGATGCCGAGAAGTGCGTATTTTTTTTTGAAGGAGATACCAAAAAAAGAGTGCCCATGATTTTGAGAACCCTTTTCACTTGGTGCTGGTTGCAAGTTGGCTAATCATTTACCACTGCCATGGTTTGTTGTTTTCAATGGACACCTATGACTGGAGGTAGGTTGAGGTCAGGATGGTAGAGGTTGGACAGAAGGCCGATGAAGCTTGTCAAGTCGGAACATCCCATCGCCGGACCGAACAAAATGTCCGCGAGTTGCACGGAGTGTGTTCCCTGCCACTTTGGTCTCTGTATTTTTGCGCGCATTACGATCTGTCGCTCCGCACACTTCAATCGGACAGATAAAAACACCAGGTATCACTATGGATAATCCGCACACTTCCGGGATTCTGCAAGCCCACATCTGGACACTATCGCCGCTGGGGCGTTGGGGCGTAGCGAGGCGAAGGGAGACCACCACCAATGGGGTACTGGCAGGCTTCATGATGTCCAACCTCCATACTAATTTGGGTGTGGCTCAAGTCTTTGGTTCCATTTACCAAGGGGGCCGTTTGGGCACCTTGTTTTGAGCCACAGACATTTGTGTGAATCTTTCTCTTTCCGACTTCCCGGCAGAATTGTCGGACCGCTGATTGGAGGTTGCAAGAAAAGGGTGCCTGACCTCCAGCTCTCGTGAGGTTGGGTTTGGGACTGCGGCCTCTTCCCAGCCCAGTTTCCGCAGCCTCAAACATACCTTGACCGAAGACTCCAAACTTGAGCCAGAAATCCCAAGACACACCGGGCGGAAAAAACAACAACACCATCGGGCAACTTATCCTTCCGCAGTTTCCCTGGCACAACTCCTGGGCCCGGGTCGCGCAGCACTTGCTTGACCCTAATCCCCTCTAAACCAGCAGGAGTCTGTTTAAACAATCGTGCGTCAATTCTGGGGGTGTCCTTTTTTTGGCGTTGGCACCCTTCTTGGATTGGCCAGGGGAAACCAACAAAGCAACCCCAGCGCCATGTGTTGGAGCTACCTTCAAAAAAGCGAGGAGCCCCATATCACGTGGTTACCATTTTGCATGTTTTCTTATTTTGGTCAACTTGGTTGAACTCCCCAAGTCGAACTGCCGATTTTTATTTCTTCTTCAGCTCCCCGCACCCCACGTCCAGCAATGCTCCAAGAGCTCCGCCCGGGGCGTGGCGCCTCCCGCGGAGGCCTCACGGGGCGCATCTGCATCGTGGCGGAGACGGCCCACGACCTGAAGATCCGGGACGGCGGCATGCCGGGCTCCGTGGCGCAGGCGGGGGGGGGGGGGGGGGTTTTGGTTGTTTCGGGGGGCGGACGGTGGTGGTTGTTTCTTTTTGGCGGGGAGATGGGGGGGTATTTGCTATTGCTTCGGGGGAGACTTGGTCGTTTTTGTTTGGGTACGTCTCTTTTGGCGGGCTTGTGCTGCAAGATTGGTCTCAATAGGGTTTCCAGGCATCCATACACTTTTTTCTTAGATGTGGGGTGGAGGCGCAACGGTTCCAGGTTCATCCGTTGAGTTGTCCTACAAGTCGGAAGATGTGCTTGGGAAGGGTGCTTCTCCTCATGGACTCCTTACCACTGCGACATTCCGACTGTCATTCAGTGCACAATGTGGCTGTGCCTTCTTTTAGAGGGTGCCAAAAAAGGCCATCCATCTCCTCTTTGGACAGCGTTTGCCCCCTTCTTGCTCGCGCAAGGAGGTCTACGGCACGGATCGGGCGCCGGCGCCATCAATTCGTGACCCGGCTTTACCATCCATGTTGATTTGGTGCACAGGTTTGTGGAAGATGCGCTTTTCGTGCCAGTTTCTGTGATCAGGGAGTCCCCATCAGAATTTTCTGGGTTCCACCGGGTTCAGTACGGCATGTTCTTGGGATACGGCGCATTTTTCAGGTTCCCACCAATTTAAAGTGGAATGTTGAGTTAGTCAGCTCGATGGATCCAGAGAGTCGTTGAAGTAACACCCTTCAGTATTTGCCTTCAAAGTGCCATGTCCTCCTTTTCACCCGGGTTGACACGGAACCTACAGTTCCGTCCCCCCCCCCCCCCCCAAAACCCAAAAAACAAGAACCAAAAACACAAACACACCCAACAAAACCAGTTGCCTCGCAGACTCCCCAGGCAAAGCCAAACCAACCTCGCCCGCCTTCGACCGCTTGCCCGGCCGCCCGACGCCGAACCGGCGAGGCTCCCTGGGCTTCCTGGGCCCGGGCGCGCTGAAGGCCGCGCTGCCGGCGGCGCTGCAGGGTTTGGCCGCGCCCGGGGGGCTCTTGGCCAACGAGGAGGCGGCTGGGGGGGGGGGGTGGAGGGGGTGCGGTGTGGTGCGGGGGGGGGTGGGGGGTGGAGGGTGGGGGGGGGGGGGTGCGGGGTTTTGATTTCTATGGTGGTTCGAAAACAAAATGGGCTAGAACCACACCCTCTTATTCATGATTATCAGGTGGATACAAAACTTAGTGGAACCCGACGGGGCGGGCGATGGGGGTGGGGGGGGGGTGGAAAGCTCAGAGCAGCCCTCTGGGCCGAGGAAAAGAGCTGCACCCCACGATGGCAGGCATGTCGGAACCGCTGAGGGAAGCATTCCGCATCTACCCAACTCCCCCCTGTTCACCGGTATTTCTTAGGCGTCCCTTTTTGGATGGTAAGGATCCCCTTGAAAAACAGTATGGTTTGGCCCAAGTCTTCTCTGCCAGCTGCCACAAACATGAACCCCCCCGGCTTTGATCCCTACAAGCCGCCCATTTTTTGTGTCGCCGTGAGAATCAACGGCTACCATCGGAGGGGTCTCGGCTTTCCGGAGCCGGGGCACGCCCTGGTGTCATAATTAATCAGTCCAGCATAGTGCCGTGCTTCGGGTTCACCCTATGAGCAGCGCCCAAAACCGAGTTCCATTGGCCATTCCAGTAGGTGGGTCTCCTGCCTGGTTCAAGAGGGATTATAGTACTGTAAGGCCCACATAATCCATGGTAGCTGGATTGGTACAAGCCAGAGTTAATGGGTTTTGGGCGCAGTTGACAATCGTAATCCCGTTTATTAGCAGTATTAGCATATACTACTAGCAAGAGTGCGACCTCTGCGTCATTCCCTCGCAGCAACAGATGATTGAAGATGCGCAGATTGGCATGGATTCTTTTGTGGGGATGTGTCAACACGACTTGGAGGCCCTTCTTGGTTCATGGCTTCAGCAGAACACTGGCAAGTATTGAACCAGACCATCCATACCATGTATTGCACAATTCCATTTATGTATCCACCCCCATCCTCAGACTTCTCAATCTCACCACCTGACTTCTCCCAGACTTTAGTCACTTTCTGCGGTTGGACCATTTTAGTGGTAAACGAGTTTGGACTTCGTTTGGCCAATCTACTCGATCGGAAGTGAGCAATTGCCTGGCGTGAAGACACACTCAGGCAGCAAAGCTGCTCGAGGGTCACATCTCCAGGTGAAGGTGCTACTTCTGTGGGACCACTTGTCCCTCTCTCGTCTCATGACTGGCCCTAACCTGGCGGTACTTGTAGGAGCTGCTGGCCTGCCTGAAAAGACTCAACAAGTTATCAAAGCGCGCAGCACCAGTAGATGAGCACCGCAACTTCTGAAGCCTTCCCAGCCCGTTTCCGTTGTAGAATAGTGTTTGCGAGCAAGTTCACACATGTATCTTCCCTTCCAGTGTGCACGCTTGCCTTTCAATCGCATGATTCCGACACACGTAGCACACAAAACACGCTATCTTACCCGGCCTCATCTTGCTGCGTTCAAAGTGTGAACTGCATTATCGCCAACTTCACCAAGACACCACCCAGTGTCTACCGCAGCGGGAGGCACGCGTGTAGCTTCTCACTCAGGGAAGCTTTCCATCGACCCCACCCGCCTCTTCGCTGAAAAAGTTGCCAACGTACAGTAACTGATAGGTCGTTGCTTCCCAACCTTCCGCACATTCCTCTGGCGGCAAATGTTTCTTGATTCCAAGGGGACCCTTTTTGGAAAGGGGAAACCAAAAGGAGACCAACTGGGTTTCAACCTGGCCCCTTGGATAAGGGGCGACCAACCAACTGAAGGGCTCAGTTTTCTGTGTGAATTATAACGACCTCACACGACCTCACACGACCTCACACGACCTCACCCCAAATGGTGGTTTATGTGGGGAATAGCCCTCAAACCACCTTATTTCAGGCTGGTGGAACATTATGATTGACCCAGAATTTTGAGAAGCGTCCAACCCCCCCCCCCCCAGGTGCGGATTCCGCTGGAGTTCATGGCGCAAGGACCGCCGCAGTGAGGTGGATGATTATGCGGAGGAAAAGTGATCGCGCGCCTGCGATGTGTCGGGTGCCTTTTGAGTGGAGGGAGTGGAGGGTTCTGGGTTGGGGAGGTGGGGTTTTGGGGGAGGTGTTGATGGGTTTAGGGGGCTTGGATGCTTTGTGTTTCTGTTTGTTGTTTGTGTTTCAGAATACTTTTAGGATGAGGTGAGGGTTGGATACCTTTTTGTTCTCGTAAGAGCACTGTGGCTCTGAAGCAAGACTCAAAGAGCCGGAGGCTCCAAGCCGACAGGACCAGGTTCTCGGCGGAGGAGCCCAGCCACAGCTTGGATTGTCCAGGAGGGAAGCAGCTGAGTTTCCTAGGGGGAAGGAAGCCGGGTGCAAACCAACAGTCTGACCAGCTCCGTCAAAAAGACGAAAGATGGAACACCGCTCGGAAACCCCCGCCGATTCTTGGGGTGCAAGACTCTATTGGACACCCACGGACGGAGTAACCTTCCGAGGCAGCCCCTGGCTCGCGGGGGGGCCCTGCGGTGCGGGCCCAAGTGGTGTGGAAATCGATTTTTCCATGAGCTGTGGGGTTTGAAGTTCAGGTATGGGCTCTCTCTCGGGTCATTTTGAGGTATGGGGTCTGAACATGCTGAAGGGTTTTGGAGAGGTTACCGTCTTTGGATATGGAGAGGTGGGCTTCCCCACATGGAACTTGCTTTTTTTTCTTTCAGGTGGGGCCTTTGGATATGTTTTTTTCTCGTGAGATTATCACGGTATGTCTAGCTACCCCCAAGCCAACTACCCCCCCCAAGTTCATTTGACTGGGGCTAAAATAAGCCCAACTCGGACCTTGCCAACTAGTGATGACCCTCTTTCCAACCATGGACATGGACGATAGGGGCTTCCCCACGACGAAGCTTCAAAGCCCTCCGATCAGCTTCCACGAGTGGAGGGAAGGGTATGTTCCAGTTATACAAGGCGTAGTACTGCATATGGGTGTGTCGTTTTTCGAGGATACCTCTTTTTGGTGGCTTGGAAGGCAAACCAAAGGAAAACCCACCTGTGTTGGGGTACCCCTATTTTGAGACAGGCCCATATATGGCGTGATCATCTTTTTTCTCCTTCTGTCAGCAATGAACGGGAGGCAAGAGGATCAGTGCAGCTCCAAACCAGGATGTTTCAAGAAGGAAGTAGGGTACCGACATTGCATACCTTATGCATTTGTGGTGCCCTATTTTCATGAATGGCATTGATCGTATTCATTTTGAAGATGGTAAACATGACGCATTAGAAGCGGAACTGCAGTGATGGGGCATCACAACAGCAACCGCAAGCGCAACAGCAACCGCAACCAACAGAATGACATGACCGCGACCACAACCATCACACAACCACGACGACCACCGCGACCACAACGACAGCCACAGCAACAACAGCGGCACGCAGAAACAGCATGATCAGAAAGGGAAGACGAACAAGACGGAAGGAGCCAAATACAGTTGCTAGTGACATAAGCCATACCCATACATATTCATAATATGACTCATATTGACAAATTCATTATTAGCATGATTTATATGAATACAGCCAAAACGAACAATATGAATCATACCCATAGGTATCCTTTTTGGTCGGTTTGCTTGGAAACAGATGGCCCTAAATGAATAAGCCACCAGGCAAACCAAGAATCCGGAATCGCCGTCTATACTCAACCAAACTAACCACAAAGGGCACCTACTTGTATGAATCATGCCGCATCGTGCTTGTTGTTGGGACACATTTGAAACTTTTTTGCTTCTGGTGGTTTAGTGGTTGAAATCCAAATCCACTCAACGGCTGCTGCTAAAATTCTCATTTTTTTGCTCCCCAAGCCCAACAACAACCAAGGCATAGGTCTGACGGGTGCAGGGATGGGTATGGCTCTGATGGGCTTGGTAGTCAGTCCTTGAGGTCACCAGGCCCAAAGCCTGGAAATGGATTGACCGGGCTCCTGAACAGAAATTCATTTTGCGTTTCCATTTGAAACATGTTGCTTTTTCAAACAAAGGGACACCGTACCATTCACAAGTTGCAATGTCCAGGTGTTTTTCATGCATCCGGATCCCTGTTTGACCTTTCTAACCCGAGCCACTGCGAGCGCAGGTCATCGATGCCCCAAGACCTGCGCCGTCCGCACCTGCCGCATCAGGTGCCAGCTCAGGCCGGCTTCCAGGATAAGGTTCCTGGTTGTAAAGGGAAACTTAAGGGAAACCCACAAATAGTTTGGGGCACCCCCTCCGATTTTGAGACATGCAAATAATATGTCCCCTCCTTTTGCCGGTTGGACACCCACCTATCAGCTCTTGGTGATTTTTTTTTACCATCCCTTGTGATGTCGGGTATCTGCTATCCTGGGGCGGTTTTGCCCCGGTGGTCTCAAAATATCGGATTTTTTTGGCCCACTCGGTGGGTAAACAGTTGTTTTTTCATGGGTACCATCAACGAGGCTGCCCGCGTCGACTTCTCCACTTGGTGGCTTTAACCATCACCGATTGGCCATGGCCCCATGTGGCTGTGGGTCAAAAATCGGGTAACCCCCAAATAGGTTGCCCTGGTCAGTGGACCAAAACCTGCGGTTTTCTGGTGGTTCAATTTTGACCCATACCCATGCGGATTCAATCGTCTTGGTTCATTTGCTAGTTTTTGCCAACTGTGCAAAGGCCAAGCGGGATTCTGGCGGGAATGTTGAAATGTTGGATCTTCCTTTGTTGGTTGATCTCAGAGTGTGATTTTGTGAGTACATTGTTAACTGGTTGGATGTGGTCTTGTTTGTGTTTCCTCTCCATTCGTTTAAAGTGGCATTGAGCATGGCCGAGACCATAGGTGTCCTTTTGAGGTTAGTTTGATCAAGAATAGATGGGTTCCACTGGTTTAGATGGGGTTCTATTTTTCCAAAAGGCCACCTATGGCCAAGACTGGCATCTTGTTTTTGGGCCGCTGGGAATCTTCCGCTTCTCCGGAGGCACAGCGGATCTTCTGAGCATGGACGAGCCGAAGCGTGCGGATTGGGCAGCCCAGCGATGGCTCGAGTTGCGGGGGGGGGGCGGTATGGCTTGTGGCGACTAAGTTCAAATGGGTGTGGCTCCAAATGAAACAGGAGGGGCAAACCGCAGGTTTTGGTGGGTAGGCGCACCACCCATTTTAGAACCTATTTTAGTGGGGATTGGGATGTTCACTGGGGGCTAACCGAGATTTTGACCCATGGCCGACTCACTTCCTGACTGAATTGGCCAAAAGAGTCTGAACTTTCCTCCTTACGACCAAAATGGTCTTCCCAAAAAGGCATAACAAAAGTCTGAACTTTCTGTTAACCACCAACATGGTCTTCCCAACTTAAATTTTAAGGTCCACGAGCTCAAGACGTGGGTCACTTGACCCTCTCTCCAACCATAGCGATTTTCAAGAGCTTCCTTGGGGGTTCGCCTTTCATCCCCTTCCACGGTTGGATAGGGGAAAACTCGATGAACCCTCCCGAGCCTCAAGACGCGGAGAACTCTGCCCATCCTGCACCGAAGCTTGGCCCCAGTTGGACGAAGGAGTTGGACGAAGGGCCGAGTCTTCTGGACCCCGAAGCTTCGGATGCACGACTGGAAAGGCCATGTCTCCAAAAGGAAGAAATGGAGGCAGGATCTGGGCATGACATGTTTTTGCAAATGGCAAAACACACCAGTGCAAATTAGAAACCCGCAGCTTGAGGGCCGGCTCCCCATTTGGCAGTGGCTCAAGAAACCGGTGCCAACATGGGTTGCCCTGGTAAACATGGCAAAATGGGATCCCGTTGGTTTTTGACCACCACAGCGAGTGGAGTTCACCTTTTCCCAGGCTTCCCTGTATCCGGACCCTGAGGCGCCCAGCGGCACCAGCACCAGCTGGGATCCCTTCGAGTCAGGCGGATCGAATTGGCCGTGCTGGCTCCCAGCGATTCATCCGGTTCCTTAGCTTTTTGGCCTAGTCATGGTTGTCGTTGGGAAACATTTGAAACATTTTTGCTTATTGTGGCTTAGTGGTTGAAATCCAACCACTTAACTGCTAAAATTTGAAGATTTTTGCTCCCTTCCAACGTCAACCAAGTAGTGTTTAGTGGTGGTTTCCGAATGTAACCCAAAAGTTGTTCACTTTTGGCAGGGGATCAGAAAACGGGCAGCCCAGTAAGGTCTTCCGATATTGCCACCTGTTTGCTGGATTTAAATTAGGTGTGGGGAAGCGGTCTACCAACCCGTCGCGTGCTTTCTGGGGTTCCTCCAGTGAAATAGCTCGGGACTTGTTTGCTTTTGCGAGGGGGGGGCAACGTGAAACCAACAAATCGCGTGGAAGGTATTGGCCGGGTTTTGACACATTCCCGAAAAGTCGTGTTCGATTCACGCAGGCCCAGATGGAATCCCCTTCTCGGATCTCTTAGCTCGAGTCGGTCCGTTTGGCCCATCGGTTCGGAGATGGTTCGCTGAATTGATCTCTTTTGAAATTACTTTTGCATTTCAAGTTTCGCTAAGTATTGACCAGATTCAACCATAGTCAATTTGATTGGGCCGAGATGGGATCAGCCACATTCTACTTGGCGGCTATCTTTCCAGCAGTATTGCGGCACCGGCTCGCTGCACTTTCTTTAGCCAGTTGGTAATTCGGGTGCTTCTTGCTGAAAGCTGCCGCCAATGGCTACCACTTCTTCAGAAACGTTCAATGGCCCGCTGAAGGTGTGGTCATGAGTAAAGAGGAAGCGGTCCTCAAAGGGCAGCCTCACTAAGTGATTTGGGCTGCTGTCTTTTGTGGGGGCTAAGGAACCAGAGAAAATCCAAATTATGTCTAGGTCTATTGTTGCCCAAATGGATTTGGGTATGTGTCAAGGTAAGGGGGGGGTCAAACATGGTTCCTGAAGCCAAGCCGCCAAGGGTACCCTCGACGCACCCATTTGGAGAGACACCATTCCCAGACATATCTCTCATCTTTGCTCTGTTTCCTCCATTCCCCGCAAAACCCAAAGCCACACACCCATTTGGAGACACACGGATTCCCAGACGAATCTATCACTTGTTCCTCTATTCTGCCCAGCAAAACCCAAAACCACGGTTCATCTCAGCCCTCGTGCCAAACCCCCGGGTGTCACAGCCGCCCCGGGCGGCCTGGAGCCCTCCGCCAGGCCCGGCGGCTCCGGTTCCGGCGGCTCAAAACGCGCCCGCGCAAAGCGCGCACGCGGGCGGCGCTCCGTGGGAGGCCTTCGGCGCGGGGGCCCGGAGATCTTAGACGAGTGGCCCCCAGCACTTTGTGCCAACTTTTTTTGCGTTTCTAATTTTTGGGTTGGGAGGGAAGGTTCCCCTACTAAAAGAGAAGGCAAGAAAAAGAGTTGGGAGCCTTCTTCTAAGCTCTCTACTGGAGGACCGAGTGGATCTTTGACCTTTAACTTTTTGGGGAGATGTGCATTTGCCACTAAAGGGACACAAAGACGCCAACACCTGATAGTTAAACTACGGGGTTCTTTAAAGGATTGATGGGGGGGCCAGTGAAAAAGTCACCTTTGCCAGCCGAATCCGTTTCCCTTGTAAAGCAGGTGATTTTGGGATGTATCCTTTGAGGAACCCTGAGGGAGTCGACACACATAAAGCAACACAAACCACTGGAAGACGATCGGGGACTCACAATATAAAGGTTCGAGGGTGCTTGATTCACAGGAGTCCAACAGCCGGATGTCTGCATTGATGGTTGGGACTGTTCCTGCTTGTTTGCAGCCCTCACGGCGCAGCTGAGCCATGGATTCAGTGAAGCGCGGGCGTGGCGCTTGCAACAGGGACGTTGGCGACCATGTGGTTTCCCTTTCACGCTCAACCGAGCCGCAAGAAGGGTGGCCTCAACAAAAAGACACTGACCGGGCATCCAGGACAAAAGCTGGTAAAAAAAAAAAAAAACACACAGCCCATAAGCTCGGGTTTTAGGAGACCAAAAGGGAATGGGACGTCTAGCGGAAACACACATCAATTCAGCTGACTCCATTCCCTTTCTTCAAGTGGGTGTCGCTGTCCAAGGCCGGGGCGCCTGGCAAGACGGGTTCGTCTCTTATAGGGACCCTCAGAATAGGTGGCTCTTGGTTTAGCCTGGGGAAGAGACAACCCATTTGAGTGACTGGCTTTTTTGTAAGCTACTGTTGGCTTGGGGAGGCCAGTTTTTCACATCCTCTTCACAAAAGAATGTCGTCCGCGGGTACAACCGGACCCAACTTTTCTCTCACGCAAAGTTCCCTTGAAACCCACCAAAAATTGGAGTACCAACTAAGAAAACAGGCGGCATACCCAGGTGCCGCTCCCGGCCGCCTCAGGTTCCGCGCCCGCGGCGCAGGCGACGGCGGCCGCGGCGCCGGCGTGGGATGCCTTTGGCGCGGGGCTGAGAGGCGGTTGAAATGGGATGGATGGGCCCGAGATGTTGGGTTCGTAGACCTCAAGTCCGATTTTGTTGGGTTCGTAGACCTTAAGCCAAGTCAAGTGGTCGATTGAGTCGATGGTGTTGGTGTCATTGTTGGGTGTTTTCAAAGGGAATGCCCCCCCCCTCTGTTGGTTGGTTTTGAAGGGGCGCCAAATGGCAAACCGCGATAATTCTTGGGGGTCCGGTAACAAGATACACCCACAGAATTTGCAGTAAGTCACTTCAAGCCTTGAGGTGATCGATTTTGCAGAAAATCTGGGCCATCCCCGAGTTGCATCATTTGTTACTCTTTCTGGTGAGGTGTTCCTTTCAAAACCAACATCTTGCTTGTCATGTTTTGAGAGGGATTCAATTTCCTGCAAGAACCGCTGGTTGCTTAACAAGATTACCAATCAATGTCTTCAAACTTGTTGCAGTCACACAGAAAACCAACCGATTCAATTAAAACTTGCAGTGACAACATCCGGCCCAGGAACCCAACAAATTGACTGTGGGTCAAAACTAATGGGATCCCATGTTGGGGTAGGTGCACCACCCGTTTTAGAACCTATTCTAGTGAGGATTGGGATGTTCACTGGGGCTGACCGGGATTTTGGATTTTGACCCATGGCCAATTGACCGAACATGCCATTGGTCGGTTGCAACCTTTCCCTAGGCTCCACCCCCAGCACCGGCAGCAACGCGCAGTTCGACCCCAATGCAGGCGTGAGACTTGGGCGATGTGGCGCATGGCTTGGGTGCGTTCTCTCATCCATTGACAGACTTGGGGTGGGGGGTAAGCTGTTTGCCTTTTGGTGTTGCATCATTTTCCCTTGCAGGGCTCTAAGTTTGGTCGAGTATCGTTGGGGGTTGGACACTTTTGGACGTAGGGAATTCTGCAATGGCCATATCTACCAAGTCTAAAAGTGTCCAGCCCCGATACAGATAAGTTCTGTGGTATTGGTCGACAAGCAAAGAATCGATCTCCACCTTTTCATGCGTGCATACATCCAAATGTTTGTAGATTACATACATGCACGAAGGGTTAACCATAGGTACAGGCGCCTACAACTGGGCCAACTGATATCATGATGGAACCAGACCCAAATGTCCTGCCTCAGAAGGAACGTCGAACGCCCGCAGGTGGAAAGGGGGCTTTTTTGGAACGTTCTTCTTTGTGCGTGTGTGTGCGCGCAACGCATGATTTTTTTCGTCGGGACGGTGTGTGGCTTCTACTCTGTTTGCAGCGACTCAGCTTTAGCTGGGTGTGGGTCAAAAACAAGTACCCAAAATGGAACCCCTGGTAAATGGAAACAATGACTACAACCTGCGGTCCCCTTGTGGCTTTATTTTGACCCATACCCAATTGTTTGCTTCCTCCATTTTGCTTACCCTTCATCTCTCGGATTGTTCTGTCCTTGTTCGGCATGCACACGTATATGTTTGTTTCCTTTGGTGTCAGCGGCCGGCTGGAACTGCTCTTTGTACTGTGAGTCCTTTGCAGATATTGGTTGCTCCAGGTTGGTCAATGCTGAGGCTCGTCTCGGTGGCAAACCTGTAGCGAACTTGTCTGAGTGATGATGTTGGTTCACTTGCGGTGCATTTACATTTCCTTTGATTTGCCCAACATTCCCAAGCATTGAGATCCAAGAAATTTAACTAAAGCTTCTGCAACACGCTGTTGGTTCATATTGTTGTCTGAGACAGTTGCGCCTCTGACACCATCTTCTCATCATTGCTTTCATGCCGGTTCGGCTGAGTCGCTTCTGATGCAGGTACAGCCAGAAGTGCTGGCCTGGGCACTGGCATGAACCCCATGGGCGGCATGGGCGGCGTACCCATGAGTGGCATGGCTGCGGGCGGCATGAACATGGGCATGGGCAACATGAACGCAATGGGCGGCATGAACCCCGGCGGCATGAACCCCGGCGGCATGAACCCCATGGGCGGCATGGGCGGGATGAATGCCGTGGGTGGGATGAACGCCATGGGCGGCATGAGTGCTGCCGGCAACATGAACCCCATGGGCAACATGAACCCCATGATGGGCTGTGGCGCTGGCTGTGGCAACGCGTCCGACACCCAGCTACCGGACTGATGTTTTGTGTTTGTCAGGCTTCTCCTGCTGGCTTTGGCCCTGGCAATGCATTGCTAATTGTCTCCTCAACATCGGAAGCTGCTTGTTGGCTTTCTTTCTATTGCTTTGCAGGACGCATGTTCCATCGAATATAAGCATCACCTTTTGGGTCGTCTTCAAGCGACTTGAAGGGCCTCGCCAGGTCAGTTCCTGCCGGCCTCAGCCATCACAGTGGTTTGTCTTTAAATGGGTGTGTCTCTTTTTGAAGGCCCCCTTCTTTTGTGGTTTGAAAGGGACAACAAAAGCACAACCACCATTTTGTGGGCTCCACGAAAAAAAGGGGACACGCCCAAATAAGGACCCCTTTCTCTCAAATGCAACCCCGGGTTGCCTTTCGCACCCTGTCAAATCAACTTCCAAAGGAGCAGTATCAACAAAAAGGCACCCCACACTTCTTCGCTTTGCGCTAGTGGCTCGGGGGAGGGGTGTTGGCGGGTTGAAGAAGTGACATGAAGCAACTCAGAGCAATATGGTCAAGGCTTACGTGGTCCTTCTCGTTGCGCTTGCTTCCATGTGGCTGAATTAGATTGTTCTCAAAGTAGAGGTCTTCCTTGGCACAGTTTTGAAAGGGAGGCCAACTGGAAACCCATCATTTTTGGAGGCCGCATTTGAGAAACACCCAAATGATTCACAGGCCTGAGCAGACGAGCTTCATGGCTTCCTGGCACCTCAGCTCTATCAATAAGATGCAGCTGCTGGGTCCGAGCATCAAAGTGACATTTCGAGGCGTCCGCATCTCACTCTTGGTGCTGGGTCGCCCCAGGTTCAGTTCCCAAAACTATTGGAGGTGGCCCTTCCAAACCACAACTTCGAGGCTAGTTTTGGGACGTCACTTCCGCGGCCCCGGTTGCTGCGGCTGAGGCAATGGGGCAACTTCCGAGGCGCGAACAAATCGGCCGACCGACGGTGCCGGGTTCGGCCGGGGCTTTAAGGGGGAGGGGAAGGAAGCTCTCGAACCCTCAACAGCAAGACACCAACCCCTCAACAAAAAGACACCAAACATCAGTGTGCTGCATGTTGTGATGCCCAGATGTGGATTTAAGGTTGATACGTTGATCGCATCACCTATGCTCCGAGCCCCCAGCTGTCGAATGATTGACTTGGAGTTTCGATGCGGAGCCGATAAGATTTCTTTATTTCCGAGAAGCTGCGGCTTTCTCACGGCAGCTATCCATGGTTGTTGTTGGGAAACATTTTACATTTTGCTTGTTGTGGATTAGTGGTTGAAATCCAACCACTTCACTGCTAAACAAAAGGTTTTTGCTCCCCTTCCAACGTCAACCAAGAATCAGGGAGTGCGGGGGGCACATTTTCCGGCTGCGCCCAGGTGCCGCCCCGGGCGCCCCCGCGGGCGCCGGCGCCTGCGGCGCCTGCGGCGCGTGCGGTGCTTGTTGCCCGGGCGCGGCGGGCGCCCGCGGGCCTGGCTCCGAGGCGACCGGAAATTCGGGGAGTCGATCGGGGTGTCCTTCGGTGTGAACAAAGCGCCAAATATGGGGGCCCAATCCAATTGAGGCGACTGCCGCATGGAAGACCATGGGCGGCACAACTCCCTGGAAAAAAACCGCCTTTGAGCACTGGAAGGCCAGCTGGCCTGGCGGTTCTTGGGGATTCCTCATCACTTCCTCATCCATCACTAGACAAAAAAATGCAGACAGTTGCGAGTGGAAGGATGAACGGGTAGGAAAGTGTTTGGGTGCTCATGGACTTCTCGGTTCCGTTTTTTTGGTTTTGTGGTTGGGTGTTCTATTTCACCCCACTAAAAGTTGAGTTAGCAGATGAAAACTGAGGACAGCCCAGTTCTGAAAGTGGTTCTCGTTTTGGAATTGGCGCTGTTTTTGTTGACGGGACTTTGGTGTTTTGGCAGTTCTTGGACTCTCGGTGCTTTTGTATTCTTGTTTTTGCTGCTAGTTGTTTGTGTTTGTTTGCCTTGTTTTGGTCATGGATTCCTTGGGACGTGTCACGGGATTCGCCCTGGACCTTTGGTGTGATGCTTCAAGGGGACTTACAGGAAACCCAGTGCCAGGGGGACTCAGAAATCACCGACCTGCAGGAGGCTTGCCCTCATAGCTACTCCCTTTCATTTGTGAATGATTTGTCTTGAAGGGACACAACAAGCACGCGCCATTTCTGCGGTCGTTGGTCGGTTGAAACACAGAAGCACGCAGAATCGTGGACATTGGCGCTTAGCAACCATTTTCTGTACCAAGGGGACCCCTTTGAAGACGAGCAAGCACGGTATCTCAAGCGGGCCATGCAGACTGCCTGGCCTTGGCGAAGCTCAGTGTCCCCTTTGTCCCTTGAGCTACCGAGCCGACAGCCGAAACGGGTGGTCGCTTCCGAAGCTGGCAATCTCACGCATGAGTGCGGCGAATGCTTGCGGTTGCATTCAATCTCTCGGTTTTGTTTATTTATGTAATACAAGCATACAGAGCAACTGACAACATGCCTTTTTGGGCGCAGTCTCCCTAGCAAAAGGGTCACTGGAAAGGCACAAGAAGCCTCCGCGTCGTAGGCAGAGGACCTCATGTCCAAGACCATGGCGGGAGTGCCAGCCTCGGAATGCTAAGGGCAAAGCCTCACGCGTCCCATGGGATGTCATTGGAAGGGCGTGATGAGGCATGTGACAACCACGGACTCGCTTGAGTGATCTTAAGGTTGTGAAGGAAAAGTGGTGAACGGCAAGCATCGAAATTGCGGGCGTTCCCACTTCAAAAACGCGTGGATTGCCAGATTGCCAGTGCCTGCTAGCAGCCTGTTTGCCTCGGACCCATGAATGTGCGCCCCGAATACCCAAGAAGAAGTTTGAAGTCGCTGTCCGGTTCTCGTCACGTCACTGGTGCTCAGGTGGCGAAGCTCTCTCTGGACCAGCGTCAGGCGCGGGGGCTTGGTTCGCCTTTTGGCGGGCGGGCCGGGCGCCTTGAAAAAGTCCACCAACAACACGTGCGGATCCTGTTCGAAGCTAAATCCAGGGTCTGGGTCTGGCTTTTTTGTTTTCTTTCTTCTCGCCGACTCCAGGTGGGGTCTGAAGATCGGCAAGCCTTTAGGAGAGGGGTCCAAGCGAGGCGCAATGCCGTGCTCCTGCTGTTTGTTTTTCCTTTTACGGCCCACAGCGGCCCGGTATGGCGAATCCCAATTTGGAGAACCCCAAAAAGCCCAAGTCTCTGCATGTGCCTCCAACGAGCACTTTTGAGAGGCCAGATGGTTCCTTTAGAGGCAGGTGCTCAGGTGTGTGGGTTTTGGGTGGCGTACGGCCGTTTCGTCCGAACGCACATCTCTCCTTGCAGCCAGTGGACTAGCTACAGGAGGGCTTTGGATGCGGCGAGGCAAGTGCATGATGTCACCTGCCTCAACCTTTGGCATCTCCACGGGAGCCAAGAGAACCTGGGTGCAAGATCCACTAATGTTGACACAGGATTAATAAACCCGTCCCATTGTTAGGGGGGTGTTCCCTCCAAAAGTGGTATGAATCCCCACTAAAAGGGGGGCACCCCCCTATTAATCAACCAGGGGTTTATTGATCCGGGGGGAACAAAATATCCCATGCTACCTGGAAGGCGTGAGGCACAGTGAATTTCTGGATGGTGATCTGCAGATGAGTGTTCCTGAGAGTTGAGCGGCAACTGCACACCGTTGCCACCCAAGCGCCGCTGTTGCTTGGGGACACTTCTCGGGCTTATGTGGAGGATACCTGTTAAGAAAAAGAGCCAACAGGAAAGCAGCGATTCGGAGGGTCCTCCGAAAAAGACCCGCCCTTGCCCTTTTTCAATCCACGACCGCAACCGGACATATCCAAACCAAGGCTCTCTTGCAGGAGCCCGTTGCAGTTGGGATCCGATCCTGGGCGCCCACTTTGTCCTTGATCGTCCCTTTGTTTTCAGACATGATGGGATTGTCTTAAATGGGAAGACCGTGCAACAAAAGGCGAAGGACAGAGGTGCCCTTTTTGGTTGTTTTGGTCGGAAAAAAAGGAGGGCGACTCCTGGTTTACCTGGTGGTTTCATCATCTACCAGGGCCATCTATTGCCCCCTAAAAGGACACCCATGTGCTCGGAGGGGTTTTCCCCTTCTTCTGCCCAAAAAAGTCTCCGACGGAAGGCGGCGACCGGCTCCGGCTCGCAGCCCGGAGCCTCAGGTGGCGCCGAGGGCTGCCGAATTCCGAAGCCCGCAGCACCTAAGACGCCATGGGCCCAAACCAGTACATTCTTTTTGGGTATTTACGGAATGAGAAGAACCAATGGGCTTAGGCGCGAAATGGAGTTCGCGGCCATCAGGAGCTGGGGACTTCAAGACACCGATGTGAGGCAAGCTGAGGTATTGGGTGGGTTCTTGTGGTTTTTTGGCTTGCCTGAGCTTGAGCCGGGTCGACAAGCCGCGCGCTTCCGATGCGGCGTTTTTTTTTTTTTTTTCCCGGTATGCAAGCCCCTCGACTCGGACCCCCCCGCAAGAATTCTGAGGAACTGGAGCGATGTAGCTCCTAAGATCAGGCTCCGGAAGGTCCTTGTGAGGTGAGCATCGAGAAGGTTGAAACAAATCGGGCAGTGAATGTTTTTTTTGTTTCTCTATGCTTTGCTGGATGTTTTTTTGGGTGGCCTATAGTGGCATGTCTGAAAGCAGGTCTGTGCGATATGCGGCCAATCCTATGCGTGAACTCTGATGAATGAGATGCTCTCAACCTCCCTGTTGCTCTGGAAGATGACATGCTGCAGAAGCGTTCGGTGTGAGTCCTTGAATGAGCATTGGTAACATGCGAACTCGCATGGTCTTCCAAAGGGCAGGGCAGCGCCCGGTCCCAAGCTTCTCGCAAGCCGGAGCTCAAGGGAGTGGGTCTTGTTGATGGAACAACTTGTTTTGTTTGTTTTTCTTTCGGGTTGCTTTTGAGGCAAGGCGACAAGGCAAGCCGCCTGTTTGGGGTTTGTGGTGGGGTCCATACCCCATTTGGGGATTCGTTCAGGCTTGTCCGGCATTCCGTTTGGAGGGCTTCCCCATTGGGGCCCTAGGGGCCCTATGTCCACCATGGGTGCTGGGTTTTTCCCTCCCCCACATATTTTTATGTATTATCGTTATTACTATCATGATAATTGTTGTTATTGTGATTAGCAATGGTAGTAACATGTTCATTATATGTTTACTTGTGATTCTCGTTGCTAGTGTGATTATCAGTATTAGGTTGCCCCCTTCGGACCCCCAGCCGTCCGTTTTCGTCGCTTTCTCCTTTGACGCGACGAGTTGACTCGGACTCCTCGAACTCGTTCGAGGCCTCGCGGTGTGCCCATGGGCTTGATGTAGGGCGGCTGCGGCTCGCCCGCTTAGGCCTAACGTGTCACCCAAACCCCTGCCTTCGTATCGGCTCCGGGGATACGCCAGGGGTCCAACTCGCCACCGATGTCTAGGTGGATTGAACCTTTTTGTTTTTGGGCGGATCTCCGGTTTTGGGATGGCTTTAAGTTTGAACCTCTACTCTTTTTGGGGTAGCGGCAGAAGCTTGGCGCATTTCTGGGTCACCCCCCAACCTGAGCTCTCCAGCTTCTTAAAAGCGCTTCCCCGATTCGCCCGCGTTCGATTTACAGCGAGTCCCGGCTCGCTGCCCGGAATGGCTCAAAGCCCGGAAACGCGTCCAGTGGGTCGACGGGGGCCTCGAGACGGTGGTCCTGTTTGGTTCCAGTGGGTGCCAGCTTGTGTTTTCACAGCTTGGTTTGCTGTTGCTCCATGGGAAAATCCGTCCAAGGAACGAGGACACACAAGACATGTCCCAATCTGCCCCCCTACTCGCTGGAGTATGACTTTTGCGCCTCCCGCTTGCAACCGGAGTATGTTGAGGGTGGCAGCGGAAGGCAAGAGATTCTTGCTGTGGGCACAATCCACTCCGCAGTTCGGACGGTGAACCCCCTGAAATTCTGGACGCCAGGACTCAATCACCAATCCCAAGCTTCTCGCATGGAGTTTGGTTCATCCGCGGTACCCCTGAATGTATCTGGTTTGTTCACTGTGACAGGGCACAGGTCAGGGGTCAGGAAGGCTGTTCCCTGGAACATCTTGGGGCAACATCTTCAGAGCTGCGCACGCACTTCAGTCGCTCCCTTGCTAAGCATGCTTCGGTGTAGGGGATCCCCCATTTCAGCGAGAAATCATGATATTCCTCAGTCAAGGTTCATTGGCACTCCATTCACCTAGGATCAATGGCACTCAAAGCCCGCCAATAAGACTGAGAACCCCCCATGAAGATACAGGGATTTGGAAGAGAGTAGCTATTCTCCAATCAACAGCTGAACCACTTGTGTCTGAACAGCTGTTTTTCTTGAACATGAGTAATTTTCCTCACTCCGCGGAACTCGAGTTCCTGGACTTGTTTTCCTTGTTGGACCATTTTGGTAAGCAACACATAAATACGGTTTGGTCAATCCACCCAACCGAGTACCTCCTTGGTCCGCTGCCACTGAAGTCTTTGAATGGACGCCTGGAAGTCGCGCGCAACTTTTCAAAGGCCTCAGCCGACCGAAATCAAGCTCAGCAGCAACAAGCCCCTCCCAAAATTTTGGGCTTCTAGGGGTTGCTTCCTTGTCCATTCTTTTCAACCATCGTTCATTTCAAAACCAGGTGTTTCCCAGGGTTTTGGGTGGTTTTTTAGAAAGAAGGATGCCTGGAAAGAATGGAAATGGAAGGTACCCCTAGAGTGCCTCCGTTTCCCATTGACAACGGGTAGCCTCAAGAAAACACGCACGCACACACACACACACACACATCCATGTGCGGTCCCCCAAGCTGTAGACCTTGACTTACATGTGACGACGCCAATGGCGCATGGTGGGATTCGGATCGGCACGTCAGATGGCTTGAAAAGGGTTGCTTTATGGGCAACATGTGGCTGTTTGGGTCCTCAGAAAGGTGCTCAGAAGTCTTCGATTTGAAGCTCCCAAGGCTCTTTTTCTAGCCGTTTGCGGTGGGGTTTTCAGGGCTTCAGGCGACTTAGGTTTCTCCCTGATTCATGCATGCCATGGGGCAAGACGCGCCTTTGTTGCTTGGGGATATCTAGCAGTCGGGTGAGTGCAGGAAGTGAGACGTCCACATTCCATGCAGCTCGAGAGAGAGAGAGAGCCATTGGCAGCGAGGAAAGAGATGGCGCTGATGGGAAAGTGACGCGGAAAAAAACCATCAAAAGCAGGGCAAGCGTGCAGACAGCGGGCGACCAAACAGGACTCCATATGTCAATTTGGCATGATTATGTGTCCAGGCATGCTTTTGGGTGTCTAGGCATCTTCAAGGAGATGAGAATATGGGGCGTCTTGGCTCTCAAGAACCTTGTTTTGGTGGTCGGTTTCGAGTAAGCAAGACCCATGCAGTTTCATTTTGGGCTGTCCGAATTGGAGAAACCAAGTGGCAGTGGTTGTCACAGAAGCCTTCAGGAGAGCTGACAGGTTCTCAGAATTCGATCAGCCCGCTTCATTTCAAAGCCCTCGAGTCATTTTTTAGCTGCTATGAACCATTTTGAATAAGGGCACGTAGTCCCAATGAGGTCAACACGTGCAGGGGCCTTCATTGGAGGGCACTAAAAATATGCTGGAGAAATCT